AGGTGTTGGTTCGGTGGTGTAGGGACGACAGGTGATGAATTTTGCCCTATCTGTTGATGATTCTTGATTAGGGAAGGCCTAGGAGTTGTGGTTGTGGTTGGCTGCTTCCCTAACTTGACCTGCTTCCAGTTCTGTCAGCAGGTCCTCTCTATCTCTGGATCAAGTGGCAGTAAATTATCGGTCGTCCTCCTTGGCATGCACGAGGAGGATACACCTGAAAAATTCACGTGCACACTAACACCCAGATCAAAATAGTTCACTCATAAAAATCAACAAAATAAGGTATGGCAGTCCCCGGCAACAGTGCCAAAAACTTGATAGGGCAAAAAACGTAGTGCCAATTCCTATCTTGTAGTAAACCGGAAATCCGGGTATCGTCTCTCAGGGACTGGTACAACCTTATAATTTATCAATTTTGTGGAGCAATCTATAGGTGAAAAATGGTTTGGTTGATGAGATTATTAACTAATAGCAAAATAACTAAACTAATTAAGCAAAGTAAGCTTGTCGGGAGAAATTCAATGGGAGAAAGCTCTGGGACCGGGACTCACTACCTATCATATCAAATTAATTCACATATTCTAATCAGTTTAATCCAATTCTCTACGGCCAGGATATCTCTATTGTGCTAGCTATCCCTGTCGGGAATTACTACGTACTAAACAATTAAATCAAATCCTACTGTCGTAGCTCAATGACTTAATTATTTAGCCTGAAGATGATATCCTATTTAAGACCGCATAGCACCTTATTTAATCCACTGTCGCTTCGATAAGTTACTATGTCACATGAAATAGGTTCAGTCATTAGGGTTTCATTGTCGCTAATAACCTAATTAACAATAAATCAATGTATTGATGGCCAGTCAACACAAAGCATTAATTAATTTCATGCAATAGAGATTGGAAGAAAAGAATTATGAATCAATCCATCAAATATAGAAATAGGTACATCCTATGGTGTTTCCCCCAGAAATCGGGGTTTAGTTCATGGCGAAACTGAGATAAAACAATAGGGTTTTGTTCATCATGTTCTAAATCAACAATAAACAAATAATCCGGACTAGAAAATCCAACCAAATAACTTGTTTTTGTTAAAAGCTCACGTCGCCTTGGGAGAAATCACTCGCCGAGCTACTGTCGCCAAATCGCGTTGCTCTCGTCCCCAAGCCTTCCGCTCACCCTGTTGCCTTCTTCTCTTTCCAAAAGAATTTCGTCGCCCAAAAGAAAAATCCTCTGCAGAATTTTTGTTCCGTCCAAATTAATAGCCACCCCAAGATTTCCCTCGCCCCATCAATTCCCCCTCCTTTCTTTCGCTGCGCCCTCTCCAAAAGAGAATAACCTGGGCCGCCAATTAGTCTAGCTAGCTGGGCTATAAGTCCATCAATTGAGCTTTAGCCCAATGATTTGTTGTAGAAGAAATATGGATCCAATTCCTCCCGCCATCTCCTGCTTCGGAAGTTCCAGTGCTGCCATTTCATCTATCTTTTCACCTAACACACACACACACCAAAACTCCAACACAAAAATGGTAATGGCTTTTCAACCATTACGGATTAATTCTCCCTAAATATCACCAATCGGCTTAAACATACCATGAAATAGTCACATAAAGCTCAAGAATCCGATATATTAAAGCCGATTGTCACATCTCATCGAATTCCTGCATGAATGTAAGTACATTGATGAATCTCATTAAGCACTGCGATAAAGAGATTCCAGACATTTCAAAGATCATATGCTACCTACCTTGGAATTTGCCTTGGCAACATAAGGTGTCAAGCAAGGATTAAGATCCTTAATGTACATATCATCATCTGGGCTGCCTGGTGTCGTAGCCCCGCAAGAACTGAAGTCTTGCAAAAAGAAAAAAATGGAATGTGGTTTAAGGTTACAAAAGGAACTTTCGTTAGATCGTTCAGCTTTGGTTTTCACTAAAGTTCTTTAGAGTTGCCAATGTTCTTCCTCACCAGAGAATTTGCAGATCCTTCACAATCGAGTGGGGGCGTCTTCGGTGAGTTGCTCCAACGAGCTCTCCCATATTTCTCGGCCTTCACATGGTTGAATTGGGCAAAACTATTAGCCATTGCTATTCATCGCGACCAAGCTTCAATATCAGTGACGAACGACATGGATAGTTTTACCTCCGCTAGACCCTCGGCAAGGCACTGTAACTGGCCTGTGAGGGAATTGACCTGCCTCTGGAGATTTGGGATGAGGGTTTTGGCTTGCTTCAACTCTTATCCTTGCTGTTGAAGGATATCTTGAAGCTCAGAGTTCGACAGATCGGGAAATAGTACCGCGTTCTTCAATGACTTGATCTCTTCCCTCTGCTTCAAGCACAAGTCCTTCAACTTCTCCACCTGCAACAAAACTCCTTTGAAAGATCGGAATCGGAAAAGAAAAGCAGAGTCATTGCCAAGTTTAGAACTTCGGAAGGCTTGAACTTTAACCTCACTTACCTCTCTGTTTCTGGTCTCAACATCGACTTGAGCTGGCCAATCTCTTCCTCCATCTCCTTATTAGCACCCAAGAGCTCCCTCTCGCTCCTCAAAACCATCACCAAAGTCCTCGTATTACCAACATTGCCATTCCCTTTCACCTCAGTCAAAGCCTTCACTTCCTTCTTGATACCACCCTTCTCCTTCCCAAACAGCTTCCTCTACAAACCCACTAGCCCGGCCCCTCTCTTTGCCGCCGGCGTGGTCCTCTTCAAGTCCTCCGCTATCAAATCCGCCTGAATCACCAACCCACCAATTGCATTCTTCTTCTTCGACGACGACGACCCTAAAGTGGTCTTCTTCTCCATGAACTTCTTGACCATTGCTGTAAGATTGTTGTGGGTTCCATTGGGCTTGGATGTCAACTGGGAGAGGTCGGACGTTTTGAATTTGACCAGAGTTCTGGATGAGGAGGAAGGAGTGACGGAAGAAGGGTTGAATTCAGCTGAGGAAGTGAATGAAGAGGCGGAAGAGCGGGTGGAATCGTAGGAGTTGTAGCGAGACGCCATTAACGGACAGGGGATGGCAAAAGATCAGAGCTTTGAGATTAGGGAGAAGCAAGACAAGGGAAGAGGGGAAATTGGGAAAGTGACTGAATGGAATGAAAAAAAGCAATGGGTTTTTCTTGCTTTGTTTAAGTAAAGTTTGAATTTTGTGTAAGCTCGCTCCTTTTGCCGCTACCGATGGAAGTTCTGATTCAAAAAAAATGGGAGAAAATGGGGGTTATGGATGCGTGGAGGGAAAGCTGGATTTTGGTTGGTTGAATGAGTGTAGAGAGATGGTGGCTGACAGTGAAAGGTAGAGAGAGAAATGACGGGCTCAAACGCACTTTGAAAATTGGGCTTTTGTGAGAAGCCCAAATGATTCTTGAACCAATTTGGTAGCCCTTAGGCTGAGTCCAATGCAGCCTGCATTTATGGGGTTTTCGGCATTAATGCCGATCTTGGAGTTCCAACGCAGAGAAATAAATGCCAAAAATCGGCAATTATGGAGGCGATCGACAATTGGATCGCTATATATGGGGAGGGTTTGCCGATTTCGGCATTTATGGAGGAGGAGTTGTCTGCTGCGCGGCACAACCGCCGGGGCTGGGCGGTGCGCCGCACGCGCAAGGGAGAGAGCTCTCTTCCTTGCGCGTGCGGCGCACCGCCTAGCTCCGGCGGCTGTCCCGCCAGCAACTTTTTTTTTTAATTGTTGTTGAGTTATTTAAGGAAATTGATTAAGGAAATTGAATGTAATTAATTACGGGAAGGGAAATTAATATTTGTATTTAGGTTTTTTAGATTGTATTAATTTGTGTATTTAGGCTTTTTTTTCTAAGATGACTTAAATTGAATTCATTTTATTTAAAATTTATGTTTATCATCTTTAAGTTGTGTGTAAACAAAAATTAGATCGAACTAAGAATGGAAATTATATTATTGAAATGTAAATGCGTTCGTAAATTACAAAAAAAAAATTAGGTCCATAATTTTTTGGCAACAAAAATTCGGTCTCGAAATTTAACAAAATTCTATCGAAAAATTTGTATTTAAAAATGATGAAGAACTATACAAAAATTAACATGAACAAATTATATTAAAGTTTCGATAAGTACATTTTAAATAAATGGAAAAACTGGAAATTTTAAGAACCCCAAATATGCGGGCCGTTTGGATGCCGTATTTTGATGAGGTAATTTGGTCGAAATAACTCAGAATGAGGTATTTCAATCAAAATAACTCGTTTGGCAAAAATAAAGTAGAATGTCGTATTTTGTCCATGAGTCAATTGAAATAACTCATTGTGAGTTATTTGAAATACCTACCCACCCCCTAGTTATTTCAAATACCTCATCTCCCAACTTCTTTTTCCACTTCATCCCTTCTTTAAGTGGTGAAATACCACAATATTTGAATGTTTTATCCAAACAAGGCAATTACACCAATTACCACATTTCAAAATGAAATACCACATGAAATGCCACATAGCAAAATAATGCATCATTTGGATTCGAAATACCATAGAATCAAAATGATGCATCCAAACGACCCTGGAGTTTGTTGCATTGGAGCAAAAGAAGGGAAAATGGGGTTCAATCCCCAAATTTGGGGTTCAAGGCCCCCAAATTTAGGGTTTTGCATTGGACTTGGCCTTATACACTATTTTTGTGTCCTCGTTCGCCTTTGTTTTGTGATAGCGTTTTAATTATTTTCAATATTTGTATGTGAGTACATTTTTCTCTTACTTGAGTGATCAATTTCAAAAGAGAAAACTTAACCAATGGGTTAGTTCTTACTAGATTGGTGGTTGAACATCTTGAATTTTAATCATGAAATCAAAGGTTCGACCCATCTCGTATTTGAATCATGAAATTATGAATTTGATTGTCAATCATGAACATATATATCTTATTTTGTGACTATATGTTTAGCCTTTTGTACAATAACCAATAATATTAGTTAGTACCATCAACGATTAATAGTCTAATAATACCCCAAAACTCGTATTCTATGCTCACAAATTTGATATCATTTTCTTACAAGTTACAACCATAATGCTAAAAAAACACAATGAATCAATATTTGAGGCTGCAGCATTGTCCAACATTAAGCTCTAAATCATGAAGAATTGTTATTTTCACCCAACTTAAGTTTCCATCTTCAAGGAACTAATCTACTCAGTAGACTTTGGTGACTAATTAATCGCTTAACACTCAACCTTGACCACCTCCATTTCAACACTTCAACTATCCAAATCCTTTGCCTCATAAGACTTGGCAACCAAATACAACTGATCCTTCCTAGCCACAGCAAGTCCAAAAACCTCACTCATATCCAAATCCTCGGCCCTCAGTCCATTTGGAAGCTTCCAATCGAACCAATACAATAAATGTGTCAAAAGCAACTCGATGTTAGCGATTGCATACGATATACCAGGACATATCCTCCTTCCAGCACCAAATGGAATCAGTTCAAAGTGCATCCCTTTGAAATCGATCTCGCTTCCATCAAACCTCTCTGGAATGAAGCTCTCTGGATCCTCCCAGGTTTCGGGGTCCCTCCCTATGGCCCAAGCATTGACTATGACCCTTGTCTTGGCGGGGATTATGTACTCCGAAACGACACAGTCTTGGTTGCTTTCCCTTGGGATCAGGAGAGGGATTGATGGGTGAAGTCGGAAAGTTTCCTTGATCACTGATTTTAAGTAGGTCAAACCTTGTAGGTCTTTATCCGTTATTGCATTTTTCCCCTTTAGAGCTTGTCGTATTTGGGATTGTGCCTTGCTTAGAACTCGTGGGTTCTTCATCATTTCTGACATCGCCCATTCCACCGCTACCGATGAAGTGTCGGTTCCGGCGACGAACAAGTCCTGCAAAATCAAGTCAAACAACATATGAAGTTACGTGATCTAACCCTTTTCTTGTCCTTCCATTAAAATTTTGCTTTGTTTACCACAAGGACGGCTTTGATGCTTGTATTCGTAATGGGACACTGCAACCCTCCACCCTCCTCAAGCCTAATCAACACATCCACGAAATCCTCACCGTCCTCGGATTCCACATCATCAATCCCACCGCCGCCGTCGCAGCCTCGCCGTCTCTGCCCAAACCTCTGTTTATGCTCTGCTATAACTCTGTCCAAGATCACATCTTTATGGTCTCTCATTCTCAGGATCTTCGATTTCAGCCCGCTAAGCCCGTGCAAGAACTCCAGAGAAGGGTAGAAATCGAGCACGTGGAATCCTCCGGCCACCTGCGCAGCCTCCCTCATCGACTGTATTATGTCGTCTTCTTCCCAATTCATGCCAAACGCGGTCTTGCAGATTATGACATTGAACAGACTGTAAATCTTTTCACTGATGTTTATTGGGTTCTCACCGTTGTGGGACGAGCGGCGGATTGAATCTACTAGATTAGAAACCTCTGTTTCGCGGATTGATGAGAAAGCTTGTACCTTTCTCGCGCCTGTAATTAGGAACAGAGTAAAATGTAATCAGGGAGATAAATTGAAGCTTTGTGAAAAGGGATGTCTATTTTTTGTTAGTAATTTAACTACCCAGAAGCTCGGTTAACGAGATTCGCTTCATCTGCCGCCAGTAATCGCCGAGCGGGCAGAAGGCGATGTCCTGGCTGCCCCAAGTGCCGATATCCACCGCCAGAATCCGTGGCCGATCGGCGAAAACATGGTCGTGGGTCTTCATAACTTCTCTGGCGATCTCCGGCGAGGAAACGACGACGGAGGGAACTTCACCGAGCCGGAGGTGGAACAGAGGGCCGTACTCGTCGGCGAGTTCCCTGAGGGCGTGGTGTGGCAGAGGCGAGCGGCCGATGAACAGGTTGTGCAAGTTTCCGATCAGGGGAAGCTTTGTCGGTCCCGGCGGGAGATGGTGGCCGTGCTGTGGCTTTTTGCATGAGATAATTGTTATGGACCTTCTTTTGATCGTTTTGGTTTGGAGTGGAGGAATTGGGATTGGCAGAGGGAATGTGAATGTAGCAGCAATTGAAGCCATTGATGATGGGAGTTTGGTAGGAATGAAGATTTGGAGATGGAGAGCTCGAATTTATGTGCAAATGGGTTGCATCGGCTTATGGGTTTCATTCAACAGAAGATCATTAGATTGCAAATATTAACGAAATGATGACTATACTAAGAAATTAATAACAAAATAGTGACTACGAAATTATTTCGTATGATCGAATACATCAAAAATTAATTTGACAAATGAGTTTGTATTGCTTCATCATATTTACAAATCCCAAATTAATCCAAGTTGAATATATGTAGCTTGTGTCAAGAACTAGTTGATTCCTATAATTTGAGTTTTTTTATAGATTTTAAATGTGAATCTTGTACCACACGGTAACTTGCCCGTCAAACGAACGATAATCACTTATATAGGTGTGAAGTTTGCACGTGCATCAAGCACTATGTGTGTTACCAATGGGTGTCACCGGAATTTGAATATGAGATCTCTCGATCACAAAAAACTCTAATACCATGTCAAGAACTAGTTGATCCCAATAATTTAAATTTTATGGAGAGATTCAACAATAAATCTTATTATCTTATACCACACTAAAAGTTGGATCGTAGATAAGTTTTTCAAAATGTGATGAAGGGGTGACTTTGGTGAAGTATGGAGTCTGTTTGATATGTTGACTAATGAGACAAACTATTAACATTTTGAGATGTGATTTTGGGTGACTATTTGTTACAACTAATTTAGTTTTGTGAGCATTTTGTTAAGACTTTTAGTTGGATGGCCACTTTTGTTGCAAGTCTCTTAGTTTAGTGATTATTATAACATTTAACCGGTAAAGTAAATGGTTGGCATAAGTTATGGTAAAGCTCACAATATGTCATTTTATTAGTTGTCTTTCTTTGACAAGGTAATCAAATCGTATGGAGAATATTCCATTCATCCGAAACAAAGACAAATTATCTCCACTATATCAGTATATATCACTAATGGAACTCTCACCAAATTTTATATGTACATCAAATATGGTTCGTTAATTATATAAAAAAATTACCTATGTGTTTTTTTTTTTCCCCATCAGATAAGCCAAATTACAAGGTTGATAAGAATAACACGTTGCAATCGGACTATATATGAATGATCAAGTAAGTATCTTGGTGTTGCTTGCCAGCAAGAATTTGCCTTAATGGTAATACCACTAGTCTTAAATCTGAAGGTTTCAAATTCGAATTTCTTTTAATATCACCTAACTACAAAAATCAATTTACTTCACACTTATATACAAAAAAAAATCTTGTCGTTGCTTAATTAATAAAAAAATAAGTTGATCCGTTATATTTATAAATTGACATTTCTTAACTCGTTGCATGCTATCTCAATTACGTGTTATTATGTGAAATATGTACATTTTCAAAACCAAAATCACATTTTATAGAGCGGGTAATTTTCAAATACTCTCTACCCTCTAGTATTTGAGATCCCATCATTTTGATGCAATTATAATTACACTCAAATTCGATACATCCTATGGATTGCACCAAACCAAACACTTCAAAGAGAATATTCCTCTTTTCCCATTGTAACTAGCTAGTTGGCAAGTCTATTGTTTTTTTTTTTTTTTTGGCATACCGAAAGCCCATGGTTATAGCTGTGATCTCCTCAAAATTAACTGTGCCTCTTAAAGGTTATATGCAAATAGAAAAGGCCCAACTGCCCAAGCCAACAATTAAGTAGAAAGCAAGTATAGTTCAGTTTTACTACTTTATGATTTAGGGTAACTAAGTCTAAGTGGATTCTATGTACAAAGTGGATTGCACGCAAAAAAACTGTCTCATATAGCAAACATGAGACTGTTTCACGTAATATGATAGTTCCTTAAAAGCTAGAGCATAGGATTAAACCGTGGCATGGGATTAGAAAGAATATGATACAATCTAAATCTTCACGAGTAGGTATACTATAAGTTTCGAGTTTTATTTTGTTGGGGTAAATATGATTTAGGAATTAGATACAACTTATTTTTTTTACTCACGGAGAGCCCAAAAAACTCGTCCATGTTCAGATTATTGGTTGTTTCTCCTTCAGATAGTTCCCAATCGAAATGATACAATAGTTCAACGAGAGGGAGCTCAATGTTGGCGAGAGCAAAACCAATCCCGGGACATATTCTTCTTCCGGCTCCAAACGAAATGAACTCGAAATCTATTCATTTGAAATCAACTTCACTATCGTCAAACCTCTCTGGAATGAAGCTTTCTGGGTCGTCCCAAATGGCAGGATCTCTGGCTATTGCCCAAGCATTGACGAAGATTCTCGTTTTGGCTGGGATCTCGTACCCGTTGATCACACATATCTCGTTGCTTTCTCTTGGAAGTAGCAAAGGGATCAGAATGTGTAGTCGCAGGGTTTCCTTTATCACTTGCTTTAGATAAGACAGACCTTCGATGATGTCGGTTTTGGTTGCGGTCGCCTCTTGATGTTGAAAAGCTTCTCGTATTTCGGTTTGGACTTTGTCAAGGATTCGTCGATTTTTCACCATTTCCGCCATTACCCATTCTATTACCACCGATGAAGTGTCGGTTCCGGCCGTAAATACATCATGTAAAAAAATTCATAAAATACATGAGTACTTGACTATTAATAACAAGTTAACTAATTAACACCTTACTCCTTAGATTACGAGAGAAATCCAATTAAACATTTCTTTATTGGAGACCTAATGATTATTCTATTTTCCTTTCTCCCAACAAAAGGAACAAATGGTTCGATTAAAAAGATACATGTTGTCTTGTTTTTTTCAAGACCGAATTCGAACAATTTGAAACTTGTTTACATATAGAAGCCAACTAGATCAAAATGAACTTTTTTTTTGCTATTCAATTTAAACATATTTAATTATATAATTAATTGAAATTGTTAGGTTATTTTCGTTTATATTTATAGTTTGAGATATCAAGTTGATAAAATATTAGGTCAATTAGACGAGTTCATTTGACTTTATCAATTTGACTTAACTATCAAGTAGCAAAACAAAGTGACTATTTCGTCATAGATTCGTCGATCAGAATTAAATGTGGATTAGTAGTTGGTAACTAATGAACTTCGATTTGATTTAGTTACCGTAAGGAGGGCCTTGATGGGATGGGATTAGATGCTAACCCTTATAGGGGTTAGTACCGTGATAACTAGCAAAAAACGCTACTAAAAATAACGAAATCACTACGGATTATTATAAAATCAATACAACATCTAAGCTAAATCACTACTAATTCAAACTAGTATTAGTTTTTCCCTTGGTTAGGACGGTGCTAACTATTGTACAATTAGCACCGTAGCCGTTCCCGGGCCTTGATGCTTGTGCTCGTCATATGACATTGAAGGTCACGGCTAACTTGAAGCCTAAGCAAAACATCCACGAGATCTTCCTCACCATCATCATATTCACAATCGTCCCGCCGTCGTTCTCCACCGCCGCCGTCAATCCTCTACCGGTGCTTCATTATCGTCTTGTCCAAAATCACGTCTAGGTAATCTCTGAGCTTCTGAATTTTGGACTTCAACCCGTCGGCGCCCGGCACGGACTCCAGCCACGGGTAAAAATCCACCAATTTGAAACCGCCGGCCACCGCCGCCGTCGCCTTCATAACCTCAATCACCTCCGAATTCCCACCCTCAGATCCAAACGCCGACCTGCAAACGATCGCATTCGTCAAATCGTAGATTTTCGCGCTGAGTTTGACCGGGCGCCCGGCGGAGCCCCGAACAGAGTCCACCAATTTTGAAACCTCTGCCTCCCGAATTGTGGCTAAAGATCGGATCTTTCTCGGACCTAGAAGCTCCATCGTCGCGATCCGCTTCATCTGCTTCCAGTAATCATCGAGGGGGGAGAAGGCGATGTCCTGGCCGCCCCACGTGCCGACCTCTGCCGCCAGAAGCCGGGGCCTCTGCGCGAAGACGAGGTCGTGGGTCTTCAAAATCTCCTGGGCGATCTCCGGCGAGGAAACGACGACGGCGGAGACTTGGCCGAGCTGGAGGTGCATGATTGGGCCGTACTCGGATGCGAGGGTTTGAAGGGCGCAGTGTGGGGGGACCGCCGTCGGTGGTGATGGCGGCGAGTGTTGGAAATGAATAGTTTTGAAAGCTATAGAGTCTCAAGTGGAAAAACTACCACATTGGTAGTTTTACTTAGTGAAATGGGTATAAAGATATGAATCTCTCTCCCAAGGGCATGCCCCTTGGGGTGACCCACTTTTGTGGGAGAGGGAGGACCTAACGGACCACCACACACACGCGCGTGCGCGCCGTCCGTCTGACCGACCGACTGGTCGGTTATTCTGAGGAATATTCTAAGGGATAATCGACTGAAAAGGAATATTCGAAGGATAATCCCTCCGGGTTTATCTTAACCGACGGTTTTAATTAAGGAAGTAATTATCTTCCTTAATTAATCCGACTTATTCCCCAAGCAAGATGGTATATTCCTAGGGGTTCGGCTCCTATAAATAGCCGCCTCCCCAGCCCCTCTAATCACATCACAACGAGCAGAAACACAATAGAGAGAGTGTTTAGAGAGCTTCGGTTTTCGCACAAAACCGCGAGTATTGACAGGAGCTGTTTTATCCTGGAGACGACCGGTTGATAGTCTGTCGTGCGCATCGAAGGCAGTGCCGCGAACGTCTTAAAGAGAGCGACCTAGTCCGCGACTCATCTCCAGATTCGGTAACCTCGTTCCTTTTGTGTTCCGTTCCTAACAATTTTAAGACGTTCGGCTGCTGCTATGTCGACTGAACAAAAGAACATGGCCGGATCTGGTGCTGTCGATATCAATCGACCCTTCCGCTTCGTTGGGGTCAACTTCCATCGCTGGAGGCAAAAGATGGAGTTCTACCTGACAACCAAAAAGCTGGCCCACTGCCTCACCAGCATGCCCGTCGAGCTGCCGGAAGAAGCGACCGATGAGGAGAGGGCTGCTTCTGCCAGGGAAAGGGAGCATGACTTCCTGTGCAAGAACTACATCCTCAACGGCCTGGCAGACGATCTCTACGACTACTATGCGGACAGTAAGAACACCG